GACACCCACAGTGAAGACAAGCAGATCAGCCAGTGTCACCCATATTCGCTGTAGATAGACACCATATGGACAGCCACAGTGAAGACAAGCAGATCAGCCAGTGTCACCCGTATTCGCTGTAGATAGACACCATATGGACACCCACAGTGAGGACAAGCAGATCAGTCAGTGTCACCCATATTCGCTGTAGATAGACACCATATGGACACCCACAGTGAAGACAAGCAGATCAGCCAGTGTCACCCATATTCGCTGTAGATAGACACCATATGGACACCCACAGTGAAGACAAGCAGATCAGCCAGTGTCACCCATATTCGCTGTAGATAGACACCATATGGACAGCCACAGTGAGGACAAGCAGATCAGTCAGCGTCATCGATATTTGCTGTAGATAGACACCATATGGACACCCACAGTGAGGACAAGCAGATCACCCAGTGTCTCCCATATTCGCTGTAGATAGACACCATATGGACAGCCACAGTGAGGACAAGCAGATCAGCCAGTGTCACCCGTATTCGCTGTAGATAGACACCATATGGACACCCACAGTGAGGACAAGCAGATCAGCCAGTGCCACCCATATTCGCTGTACGTAGACTCCATATGGACACCCACAGTGAGGACAAGCAGATCAGCAAGTGCCACCCATATTCGCTGTACGTAGACACCATATGGACTGCCACAGTGAGGACAAGCAGATCAGCCAGTGCCACCCATATTCGCTGTACGTAGACACCATATGGACACCCACAGTGACGACAAACAGATCAGTCAGTGTCACCCATATTCGCTGTAGATAGACACCATATGGACAGCCACAGTGAAGACAAGCAGATCAGCCAGTGCCACCCATATACGCTGTAGATAGACACCATATGGACAGCCACAGTGAAGACAAGCAGATCAGCCAGTGTCACCCATATTCGCTGTAGATAGACACCATATGGACACCCACAGTGAGGACAAGCAGATCAGCCAGTGTCACCCATATTCGCTGTAGATAGACACCATATGGACACCCACAGTGAGGACAAGCAGATCACCCAGTGTCTCCCATATTCGCTGTAGATAGACACCATATGGACATCCACAGTGAGGACAAGCAGATCAGCCAGTGTCACCCGTATTCGCTGTAGATAGACACCATATTGAAACCCACAGTGAGGACAAGCAGATCACCCAGTGTCTCCCATATTTCCTGTAGATAGACACCATATGGACAGCCACAGTGAGGAAAAGCAGATCAGCCAGTGTCACCCATATTCGCTGTAGATAGACACCATATGGACACCCACAGTGAGGACAAGCAGATCAGCCAGTGCCACCCATATTCGCTGTACGTAGACACCATATGGACAGCCACAGTGAGGACAAGCAGATCACCCAGTGTCTCCCATATTCGCTGTAGATAGACACCATATGGACACCCACAGTGAGGACAAGCAGATCAGCCAGTGCCACCAATATTCGCTGTAGATAGACACCATATGGACACCCACAGTGAGGACAAGCAGATCAGTCAGTGTCACCCATATTCGCTGTAGATAGACATCATATGGACAGCCACAGTGAGGACAAGCAGATCAGTTAGCGTCATCCATATTTGCTGTAGATAGACACCATATGGACATCCACAGTGAGGACAAGCAGATCAGCCAGTGTCACCCGTATTCTCTGTAGATAGACACCATATGGACACCCACAGTGAGGACAAGCAGATCACCCAGTGTCTCCCATATTTGCTGTAAATAGACACCATATGGACAGCCACAGTGAGGACAAGCAGATCAGCCAGTGTCACCCATATTCGCTGTAGATAGACACCATATGGACAGCCACAGTGAAGACAAGCAGATCAGCCAGTGTCACCCATATTCGCTGTAGATAGACACCACATGGACAGCCACAGTGAGGACAAGCAGATCAGCCAGTGCCACCAATATGCGCTGTAGATAGACACCATATGGACAGCCACAGTGAGGACAAGCAGATCAGTCAGCGTCACCCATATTTGCTGTAGATAGACACCATATGGACATCCACAGTGAGGACAAGCAGATCAGCCAGTGTCACCCGTATTCGCTGTAGATAGACACCATATGGACACCCACAGTGAGGACAAGCAGATCAGCCAGTGTCTCCCATATTTGCTGTAGATAGACACCATATGGACAGCCACAGTGAGGACAAGCAGATCAGCCAGTGTCACCCATATTCGCTGTAGATAGACACCATATGGACACCCACAGTGAGGACAAGCAGATCAGCCAGTGCCACCCATATTCGCTGTACGTAGACACCATATGGACATCCACAGTGAGGACAAGCAGATCACCCAGTGTCTCCCATATTCGCTGTAGATAGACACCATATGGACACCCACAGTGAGGACAAGCAGATCAGCCAGTGCCACCAATATTCGCTGTAGATAGACACCATATGGACACCCACAGTGAGGACAAGCAGATCAGTCAGTGTCACCCATATTCGCTGTAGATAGACACCATATGGACAGCCACAGTGAGGACAAGCAGATCAGCCAGTGTCACCCATATTCTCTGTAGATAGACACCATATGGACACCCACAGTGAGGACAAGCAGATCACCCAGTGTCACCCATATTTGCTGTAGATAGACACCATATGGACACCCACAGTGAGGACAAGCAGATCAGCCAGTGCCACCAATATTCGCTGTAGATAGACACCATATGGACAGCCACAGTGAAGACAAGCAGATCAGCCAGTGTCACCCGTATTCGCTGTAGATAGACACCATATGGACACCCACAGTGAGGACAAGCAGATCAGTCAGCGTCATCCATATTTGCTGTAGATAGACACCATATGGACAGCCACAGTGAGGACAAACAGATCACCCAGTGTCTCCCATATTTGCTGTAGATAGACACCATATGGACACCCACAGTGAGGACAAGCAGATCAGCCAGTGTCACCCGTATTCGCTGTAGATAGACACCATATGGACACCCACAGTGAGGACAAGCAGATCACCCAGTGTCTCCCATATTCGCTGTAGATAGACACCATATGGACACCCACAGTGAGGACAAGCAGATCACCCAGTGTCTCCCATATTCGCTGTAGATAGACACCATATGGACGTCCACAGTGAGGACAAGCAGATCAGCCAGTGTCACCCGTATTCGCTGTAGATAGACACCATATGGACACCCACAGTGAGGACAAGCAGATCACCCAGTGTCTCCGATATTCGCTGTAGATAGACACCATATGGACACCCACAGTGAGGACAAGCAGATCAGCCAGTGCCACCCATATTCGCTGTACGTAGACACCATATGGACAGCCACAGTGAGGACAAGCAGATCAGCCAGTGCCACCCATATTCGCTGTACGTAGACACCATATGGACACCCACAGTGAGGACAAGCAGATCAGCCAGTGCCACCAATATTCGCTGTACGTAGACACCATATGGACACCCACAGTGAGGACAAGCAGATCAGCCAGTGCCACCCATATTCGCTGTACATAGACACCATATGGACACCCACAATGAGGACAAGCAGATCAGTCAGCATCACCCATATTTTGGGCAGAATGATATAGTAGTTTAATGCTTTATTGTGTAACACCTTCCCAGATAGCATTCGGACGTTTGCCCAACGTTGGGCCAACGTCTGAATGTTTTCTGGGTTAGACAATCGCCATTAACATTTCACGATAAGTTTAACTTATCATTGACAGATCACTAAACTACCAGTAGGCTGACAGACACTGATATGGACAGCACAGTCAAAATCTACTGTCAAGGAAGTTGAAACTCGTGTAAAGCTTCAATAATGAGGATTACAAAATGTCATATCTTTATTTGAATTGATTTGAATTGAAAAAATGGCTGACAAAAGGACGAAAGGTATGCTTACTTTTTAATGTGGTAGTCAAAGTAGACAAATAGTCCCTGCAAATTGTGGTACAAAAAGGAAAATATAGGTTTATGCAGCGTTTAAAATTCCCGCCTGCCCGGAACGGTCTATATTCATCTCGGACGGTCAAATTTCGGTGGTCTGGTACATATTTTTACCCCTAAGAGTAAATATTTCATAATATCCGACAGGTTCTCGTGTCGTCAGTTTGAGGTGTTTAAGGTATTATAAAAATTATGTTAAACTACATACGATTGTACAGTTCATGTTACGATAACCAATCATAACACATGTACTTTCAGTTTACCTAAACTCGGTGCATAGCCTAGCTGTTAGTGCTATGTAGTTCACTGCGATGCCTACAAACAGTGAATGGAGCTTGCGCGAGTTGGCAATGGCAGTCAGTTTTTTATTGTTGAAAACCGGACAGGCAAGTTTGTATCCGGTAATTTTTTTAAGTTACCAGTCCGGCTGTCTGGCTTGGAATTTTGGGAGTTTTAAACACTGGTTTATGTATATTTCATCGCGCACAGATATTTTTAAATAGTCCTTCATTTTCAGCAAACGTTGCTCACTATCAGTCACTTATGGGTTCCAAATTTCATCCTAATCACAGTTCTTATCAAATGATGTGTTGTGAATAAAAGCTTCAAAGTTTAACCACTCTTGGCTTCAAACCATTTAACAGGTATCACGTTCTTAGTGTCATAAGGTAAGAGACCAAACTGTGCCGGCCTTTCCAAACTGGATATGGCCATTTGTACCAAAAAATGTCAGTGCAATGCATTGTCTGTGAGAGCTCAAAGTAGATATTCACGTTTACCTGTATGGAAATCCGATAAATACACCTACACTCCCTTCAATGAATGACAAGTGTTAATATTGCCTCCTAGCTTTCACCAACCCTAAGTTCTTTCCAGTCGTCTCGGATCAATCAGTAGAAATTTCTTCTCCGTGTAAATACAACATTAGTGCAGTCAATTGTGCGGGCGAGTAGTTAACAAAGCAATACAGTGGTGCTGTTTTATGTTACGATGACCATTACTAACGGAAATACGTGCTCTTCATGCCCACTGTACCTACTCAGTGATGAAGCTCTTGAGTAGTCTTGGAAGGTGACCCCGGGGATGTTGGTTGGTCTCCCCTCGTCAGTTGTCACTAGGTAAGGAACATCAGCACCCCAGGTGAAGAAAGCCACTTTGTCGGGTTGGTACAAACTCCGGATGTTCCTCGATGCCATCACGATACCTACAATACCCATTACAACACCTAGAAATCTTGCCGTATATCTTGGTTGATATTCATGTACAAGGGCATCATATGTCTGCAGGCATTGACAACAAATCCGTCTGTGTCTACATTCTTGTATTTAGTGAGTGAGTTACTATTTAACGTCACATCGGCAATATTTCAGCCATATCGTGACGATCTTGTATTTAAGTCACTGAGGTAGGTGATAATATTTCGAGCGTAAATCAAGTATTTTATACACTGTGAGGTCGTTCCCCTGGGTGATTTCCATTTTGTATATAAATCACTTGAGGAACGAGGGTTGTATTTGAATCCTGCCTTCAGCCTAAATCTTCAGTGTCTCCTCTTATAGCAGACGAAATATACTGGCACTTAATCAGAACTAGTTTCTCTGTGATACTGTGTAGGACAGTTCTGGTTTACTCAGTTGTGTAAGTTTGCGGTCTGCAAAGTAAAGCTGATGCGAGTATGTTCACCGTTGTCTCTGTCACTTGCGTCCAGACTGAGGAATTCCCATGATTTGTTGCCCATTGCATAAAGGCTGGTAATCACACCGTTCTCCAAGTCGATCCTTGCGATAGCATTATTTTCCTGAAATGATCTTCTCAAGTATCAGGCCATGTCCCCACATAGATATGTGCACGTTATACGTAAATTAATTTTAATTGCCAACTCTCTGATTATTATGCAGTTATCATAGCAACATGATCAGTATATGATCACTTGGGACAAGCATTAAAGCTGTTGCATGATGACAAGGGTGTTCTCTACACATGATGTGCAGGCACGCCAAGACACTACACACACATGGGCCTGTCAATACAGTCGGTGTCATGTAGCAAAGTTTCTTCGATCTTTCCACTATAATATTGTCAAAAGGTTTCAACGTTCAAAGCTCTCTCACTCACTTTCTTCAGTTATAGATAGATATTGTGCTTTATACACGTGCATTTACTCACCTGAAGGGTAATGTATGCGAACCCATTACTGGGTGAGATGGCCACATACTCCGGCTCAACGTTCTGGGAGAAATCGATGATCTTGGTGGCATCGTTAGGGTCACGGCGAAGCCAATAGCGGACGCCTTGATCCAGTATCGGGCTAAAGGAGTTAAAGGAGTCAAATCAGCGAATGACGATTAATACGTGCATTGGACCAGGTTGTCTTCATAATGCCTCCTATACAAATACATGTTTCATTCATTAAGGGTATGTTTACACCGAGACGCGACCTGTCTGAGACCTGGCTGCGACCAGCGATCGGTATGTTTACACCGAGACGCGACCTGTCTGAGACCTGGCTGCGACCAGCGATCGGTATGTTTACACCGAGACGCGACCTGTCTGAGACCTGGCTGCGACCAGCGATCGCTCTGGTCGCGTACGTTTTGGCGACTGATCGCACCTTTGCGTTTCTACCGAACAGGGAGTGCGATTTGACTACGACCAAATGTTTTTAGAATTTTCATTTTTATGGCGACATGGTTGAGACAGGTGCGAACGGTCTTACGTATCGCAACTAGGTCGCAATGCGGTCGTGGCCCTTGGCGCGCTTCTGCCGAACGGAGCCGACCAGGTCGAAATCACAGTGACAACTGCGATTGACTGGCAACTGAATGATGTTATTAACTACACCTTGGCAATGATGAGACAACGTGAAGGAAGAAGAAGGCGACACCGCCAGATGTGGGTCTGAAATTGGCTCACCCCTAAGGCGAGTCAGGCACACTGTGAGCACTACGACCTTGTCCATAAGCTGAAGCAGGACAATCCAAATCAGTTCCGAATAGGGCCCAGCATCACTGGAAAAGGCAACAGTTACAGACCCTCTTTGGAAGCAGGGTTGAAACTGTCACTGACATTAAGATACCTCGCCACTGGTGACCAGTATCCAAGCAAGGCTTACAGCTACAGGGTGAGCAAGTCATCAATACACCGCATGGTACCCCAAGTTGCCAGGTTATTGTGGATGTCAACAGAGACGAGCTATTCAAGACTCCTACTACACCAGATGAGTGGAAGACAATTCGAACTTAGATGGCGCCATAGGGGCCCTGGATGGAAAGCGCATCAAAATCCGTGCACCTCTACTGAATGGAAGCAAGTACTGGTGTGTCTGCAAAAGCTGCTACTCCATCGTTCTCCTGGCGCTTGTGGACTACAACTACAGGTTCCTATGGGTGGATACTGGAGGTCTTGGACACCAGTCAGACCCAAAATGTTCAATGCATCGGATCTGAAAGGCCGCTTGGAGACTGGTACACTTGCTCTCCCCCTCCTGAACCAATGCAACAGGCTGACGCTGACGCAGATGGTCAACCAAGGAACTTGCCATACTTCATACTGGTCGATGATGCATTTGCCTTAAGAACATTTATGAGGAAGCCATGGTCTAAGAGGAACATGACCAAGGAGGAATTGATCTACAACTACCGTATGTTAAGAGGAAGTCGTGCGGTAAAGAATGCCTCCGGTATTATGGCTAACAGATGGGGATGCCTGATACCTGTGTTGTATCAAGACCCTGAAATTGTCCACACCATAAGAGAGTGATGTATAGTACTTCACAAACTCATGAGGTTGAGGTACCCAGACATCCAGAACGCCATGAAGTTGACAATCACGTCATATTAGGTGGATGGAGACAAGGGATAGAACTATACGACAACAACGCTGCTCCTGAGCCTCCAAATTTGCACCGTGCAAAGGAACCGCACGGTGAACGCCTTACGAGTAGGTGCGACGGACCTGCGCGCTACCTGCTAGTTTATTGAGACTTGTGCGATCATGCTGCTACCGATTTCGCGACCTCAGTGTGAGTTGGAAGTTGTGCGAGTGTGCAGTACCAATCTCTACACTCGCCAAGCCTAACGCGACCGTTGGCGATCGTAGGCGATGCTTTCGGCGACGACAGAGACCTCACGGAGGTCCAACCGCTACTCCACTACGACTTTATGCGAGGGAGTGCGATCAAGGCCTAGTTGTTCGGTCATAGATCGCTCGCATACCCGGTAGGAAGGCTGAAACATACTATTGATTCTAGAATGTCTCTTGCACATAGAGCTTACATGAGTTCAGACGGCTGGTCGAATTTTCTGAAGTCGATGGTAGTGACTGGTGGTATCGCGCCAGGCGTTGTGGAGAATGTGATCACAGAAACTGTCCCTTCGGGGTCATAGAAAGTGCCCTCAACGACCCGCGGCTCCCCTCGTTAGATACGATCAGACGACGGCAGTCGGAGGTGAACTTCATATTTTCAGGATGGGCTCCCACTGGACAGGAACAGGTCATATTGTAGGACACAGTTATACATCAGTATGATTATGTAATTACATAAAGCTGTTCCAAGTTACTAAACGGTGCGCATTATGTAGATAACACTATGACTTGTTAATCACGAAGACCCCCTTAAATTTCTGCAAATGTCAATTATATGTGTACCTGAAGACTGATTACTGAGGAGTGAGTGAGTGTGTTTACAACCGCTTTGAACAGTATTCCAGTTAAATTACGTCGTGTCACTTTAACGTGCAGGGGAAAGCTCGAAGTGACTTTGTAAATTCAGTTACAAAGATTTCAACTGACCGGTAATCCTTGGATCTACTGGGTTGATGGGAGTGAGTGTATCTGTGCTGCTCTCAAACAGGTTGTAAAGAACGACGTGTCCTTCAAACGCCACAGAATCTTGACCGTCAAAGGTGATGGCAAGTGTGGGTGTGACCCCCGACGCCCGACACAACTCCACGTCAAGGGGGCGGCCGTCGCTGGCAGTGTCGAAATTGTAAGTGTAGACTTCCTGTGGGTTGGCGGGGTCGGCGAGGGAGATGACGTGCAACATAGCCGTGTCACGACCTGACAATGTAAAACTGACATGTTAAAAACCAGATGGGTGTTTGTCGCTCGAATTCTGATGCATTCTATCCAAACCTGCATCACTACGACAGCAAGGTATACGAAATACAGGACTCACCAACAACATAGAGGTAATTCCTGGTGTCATCATAGGCGCTCTCCCTGGCTGTTCTGCTGTTGACGACGTACTGGCCGTTACGGTTAGGGAGTCTCAGATATGATGCTTCTTTCAGAACCACCACGCCATAGGCCACGCCCAGTAGGGCAACCATTACCATCAAACACACGTGCATTGTGCCGAGAAGACGTCTGAAGCCAAACAACATCATGTCATACATCCAAGTCATCCATCTGTGTCAGAATCAGCGATGAGGTTCTAGCTGAATACCATGCTGTTGACTGACACCCGAAGTATGAAATAAGCCAAACACCCAGCCATTACCATCAAACACACGTGCATTGCGCCGATTGGTGCAAACAACAAATGTTCCAGTCGCACCCACCCCGATATTCTGCCACACTATCTCATTTTAATTCCAACATTCCATCACAATTACATAAGGAAACCTGAGTTCTGATATTTCCATTTGCCCTCTAGATTGTAATGACAATAGTAAAGGTTATGCAGACCTAAAAGAACTGTTAAACACAGTTCCTCTGTTGTGTAGTGGTGGCACAAGGACCTCACCTGATCTGTGGTTTGTTGAGTGAACTGTAGCAAATCTTACCTTGAAGAAGAAAGAGCCGTCTGCTCCAACATATGTCGCAAGTATGCACCTGGACGTTCCCAGTGCACCCACGCCTTCAAATGTACACACCTGCAAATGTGATACCATCAGCTGTGACGCGCCACTACCACGAAGTAGAATACGAATGTACAGAACTGTGTTCTTGAGATTCGCAATAAAATAACAGGACGAAGTTTAATTGACTGCGAAGAAGCTAAAGGGTAGCAAATCTGATCATATAAAAAATGAAATCCTAATTGGTATTTTGGGCGGATTTGCTTTTTGTCCCCCGTGTTTGGACTTCTGGTGATTTGATGTACCGATTCATAAGAAAGGTCCGAAGTCCGTTGTGTATAGCAACATTCTTTACAAGCATATTGTTTGTTTATTTGTTGTTTAACGCCACACTCAACAATACTCAAGCTATATGCTGTGGTCTGTAAATAATCGAGTCTGGACCAGACAACCCAGTGATTGATATCATGAGCATTGAACATTTGGGTACGACGACATGCATCAACCGATCAGCGAGTCTGACCATTCTAGACGCCTCTTACGACAAACATGGGTTGGTGAAGATCAATTGTAACCCGCATCTTGTACCCGGGTTGTATGATATTCTGACAAAAATAAAAGGTAGTAGGGGAGCATACGATGGGATAGTGAAGACTACATCACTGCGGGGAGCATATTTAGTTTGCTGTGACTTATTCAGTTGGTAATTAATGAAGTAAAACATTATACACTGCTTTCCCGCTGTCCATTTCTTTAATCACAGTGCAGATGTAAAAGATGCAAGGAATAAAAATATTACGAGAGTATGTTCCACGGTGTAATTAAGTCGTATGTACCGTCTCTACATACATATTATCTCTCTGTGTACATATGATCTGATCTCATGTCTCACTCTGTAAATATGTATTGTCTCTGTAAATATGTATTGTCTCTTTGTGTACATATGATCTGATCTCATGTCTCACTTTGTAAATATGTATTGTCTCTCTGTGTACATATGATCTGATCTCATGTCTCACTTTGTAAATATGTATTGTCTCTCTGTGTACATATGATCTGATCTCATGTCTCACTCTGTAAATATGTATTGTCTCTCTGTGTACATATGATCTGATCTCATGTCTCACTCTGTAAATATGTATTGTCTCTCTGTGTACTTCTGTATGTCTCACTCTGTAAATATGTATTGTCTCTCTGTGTACATATGATCTGATCTCATGTATGTATTGTCTCACTTTCTGATCTCTCATGTCTCACTTTGTAAATATGTATTGTCTCTCTGTGTACATATGATCTGATCTCATGTCTCACTTTGTAAATATGTATTGTCTCTCTGTGTACATATGATCTGATCTCATGTCTCACTCTGTAAATATGTATTGTCTCTCTGTACATATGATCTGATCTCATGTCTCACTCTCATGTATTGTCTCTCTGTGTACATATGATCTGATCTCATGTCTCACTCTGTAAATATGTATTGTCTCTCTGTGTACATATGATCTGATCTCATGTCTCACTTTGTAAATATGTATTGTCTCTCTGTGTACATATGATCTGATCTCATGTCTCACTCTGTAAATATGTATTGTCTCTCTGTGTACATATGATCTGATCTCATGTCTCACTCTGTAAATATGTATTGTCTCTCTGTGTACATATGATCTGATCTCATGTCCCACTCTGTAAATGTGTATTATCTCTCTGTAAATATGTATTGTCTCTCTGTGTACATATGATCTGATCTCATGTCCCACTCTGTAAATGTGTATTATCTCTCTGTGTACATATGATCTGACAGCCCACTGTCTAGGGCGTAGAGTTGGGTGTACCGGAACCAGGTTTGTTACTGAGAAGTTTGATTGTGTGTAAATAGAACTTTGCTGTGATTAAATGATAATCTGTCTTCTCTTCTCAAAAATTACTATCGAATATAAAAACAGGCTTATCACTGAGAATTGTGATTGTGTTTATTAATTGAAACATATTTCATTCATTCAAGAAAAGGATTGGGCACAAGTTATCCTACTTAGAAAAGCTCTCTCCCAATAATTACACAATTCATCTTACAACAAAGTACACAAGTGACAGACATGGGTAAGGATATGTACAACAGACGTTAACTGAGAAAGTGTTTTGTTTGAGAGATATAGATATGTATACATTTGAAAACTTTCTGATTTTCAGAAATTGAGAGAACTGCATTGCCATGTAAGATAAGATTAATACCAATCAGTGTTCTGTGTAATGAAAACCTTTCTCACATCCATGGCCACATTGACATGAGATTTTTCTTTCACGTGGATATAAGATTTAAATGATGCAACAGAGTCGCAATTTCTAATAGCTAATAAAATTATCGGAGTTTCTTAACTCATAACTTGTCTAGCTGCCTACTACAGGCGGGAGTAAATCCTGAAGAAAAAAACTGGTGCAAGAATTTTATAAAGTATTAATGTTAACTTGCTTCGTCTCTTTCTCTCAGAAAGTAAATCCCATCCCGTTTCATAATACAACAAACTGGAAGATGCATATCTTGGAAGACCGGTAACTATACGAACTGCTTCAAGTTGGAGTTTTTCTAATATACTAGTATTGGCTTGTTCAATCAAACATCCATGCCATACCTCACATGCGTACTCAAGATGTGCCCTTCTAACTACAGCATATATTTTTGATAATGTTGTTCTAATTAGTAGGAAAGTAGTATAGAGGCTTTTAATTTCCGAAATGCTCTATTCATTTCAGATGTCTATTTGACAATGTTCTCAATTTGATGATGCCAACTCCCGTCAGACGAGAAGGTTAAACACAAATGTTTATGAAAATCAGCTGTTTTTATATTGCAGCAATCAAAATTCAAATTAATGTCTTTTCGGCCATCTTTCAAAATAATTGAGATAGCTTCAGTTTTAATCTTGTGTTTTTATTTCGATTAAAAATACTCTATGGCATATCTGTCGGATTCATGAATAGACAGATGCAACATTCTCATTATCTCCAACGCGTTTTATGTTTAGGAGAGTGCACGTGCAGGCGGTTCTCACCAACCCGACGGATATGCCATAGAGTATGACTTCCGAGATCACCAACCCGACAGATATGCCATAGAGCATGACTTTCCGAGATCACCAACCCGACAAATATGCCATAGAGTATGACTTCCGAGATCACCAACCCGACAGATATGCCATAGAGCATGACTTTCCGAGATCACCAACCCGACAGATATGCCATAGAGTATGACTTCCGAGATCACCAACCCGACAGATATGCCATAGAGCATGACTTTCCGAGATCACCAACCCGACAGATATGCCATAGAGTATGACTTCCGAGATCACCAACCCGACAGATATGCCATAGAGTATGACTTCCGAGATCACCAACCCGACAGATATGCCATAGAGTATGACTTTCCGAGATCACCAACCCGACGGATATGCGTTGTGGCCATGAAATCTTAATGAAGATTTTTTTTTCAGTACATTTACAGCAGTATACACCTGCCCGAAGCCCCTCAAGATTGACGTAACGCAAGGTGGCGTTTACACTACTGTGAGAAACCATGGCATAGTTTATTGCATGATGTTAGTCACATGTATGTTCGTTAACTGGTGTAATTCACAAACACAAAAGTTTTAAACTTTTGCAACTTAACACAGCAAGACTGCACAAAAATTGAAAGTGAAACAACTAGATCTGTGGACTGAACATATACTACATAATATAGTGTGTGTATACATGTACTTTGTATCGCGTGGCGTTCACACATTTGTCAAAAAGGTGTTTTTAAAGAGTGATAGCAACTTATCTGTAAATCTGCCATGTCTCAGATTTCTGGCCCCGATTTCTCGAAACAAACTTAAGTCTGAGTTTTGACTTAAGTCTGAGTTTTTACTCAAATTTGAGAAAACGCAGGAAAATGCATTTCCCAGAATAAACTGAAATCAATATTGAACTCAAACTTAGCAGACAATTTGAGTTTGGTGGATAGATTACTTAAGTTGTTTGGGCTTTTTTTAGTTAAAAAATGCAGTTGAGTTAAAAATTCAGCTGTTTCAAATTGTCAAACTCAGTTTGAAATTTGAGTAAAAACTAAAGTTTGTTTCGAGAAATCGGGGCCAGATGAAACGCCACCCCGTTATATTAACAACTAGGCAGGTCTACAAGGATATATGTGAACATGTTTTCACAAGTGTCGACAAGGTAAGAAATATATAACTAGTTTCTGCGAGGAAAATATAAAAATATGAACTTTAATTGTATTTCCATTTTGATAGTTCTGTTGTCCATTTGGACCACAGTGATCAGTTTTAAAATAAAGACGTTATGGCCATAATATGCATGTCCGTTTTGGCTCTGGTCTGCTTTGGTATGTAGATGTAAAGTACGCAAGTTACCTCCCTTTAAACGTCGCGCTTGTTGTCTGTTTGCATGGTATCTAGGCTGCCTGTTCCAGCTGATTGCATTTGCAATTCCTCACGAAATGTTTATGTAATACTAGTATTCAAGGCGAGATTCTGTCGCAGATCTATGAGACATGACCGCAATATCAGGTGAAATCGCCTTTCAGGAGTGTTTTTTAGTATACCATGATTTTAACTAGTTCAGCCAGCCAGAGACCATATCTATTATATGGTCTCTGAGCCAGCTAAACGTCGTGTTCCTACGAGTCGGGGAGCACTAAAACCTAAAAACTGATAGGCTTGTGTAAGTTGGTTAGGTAAGGTCAGTGGCGAAGGTGTCAGTCAGTGGAGTTAGCTCAAAGTCAACGTAAACCAAGCCATAATATATACGATTCTAAGATGCCTAGCGGTTAGAACAATCGAAAAAAAAATACATTATCAGACAATAAAGGTATAGTTTTTTGATGACGTAACAATTGAATGACGTTATCCTGTCACTGCGCCATTCTAGTGTGCCCCCTCGTGATCGAACCATTTTACATTACGTCACAATGTAAGCGACGTCACGATGCATGTCAGTTGTCATCGCCTCGTACAGCCTCCTACAGTAAACTACTGCGTTGCATCCCGTTTCTTGGTTTGCAGTTGCTTCACTCACCTAACATCACTGGTGGAAACATTACGAGTATGTTTTCTGACGTTTTAAATGTCTCAATTCGACTCGCAAGTTTTCAGCGACACGGTAACGTTCGCAATGTTTACATTCCCACAATGCAATCGTGGAATGTCGCTGGACTACTCAGCTTTGTCTGGATGTACTGATCTAAACATACGTTGGTAGTAGAAATGCGACATTCACATGGTTTACGTTAATCACAGATGTAATTAACATACTTTAGAGAAGATATTTAATCAGAACGTAAACCGTCATGAAACTGTTTATCATTTGTTTTTCTGGTAACGTTCGTCTTAACGTAGGGGGGCAGACACATCAATAGAACAGCGCGCCAGTTAGCCCTGTGCAAGGATTCTTAATTTAGGTCACCGACACCGTCGTTTGTTTTCTGCCTTAAATTAATCGTAATTATCCTTAGAAAGTATTAAATTTGGCATCTTAGAAAAGAAATACTGTTCGCTCTACCACCATGTATAGTGTAATAAAACACTTTTGCCCTGAACTATTATGACGTTAAAGCACTCGGACGCAAGCGTCCTCGTGCTTTAACTATAATAGTTCAGGGCAAAAGTGTGTTTTATTACACTATACATGGTGGTAGAGCGAACTGTATTTCTTAACTAATGCTATATAATAGCTAATACACAGGTAAAGTAAATTTTTAAAATCCACTTGACCAAATATAAATTTCACTTGACAACATTTAACAATTTGGTTTCTGTGGCAAATAATCTATATCAATTATGAACAACAAACGATTGAATTTTTATTTCATCAACAAAATACATATATCAAAACATTTTAGTAGTTTGGCACTATGTAACTGTACCATGGTAAGGGGAGGTGGGGTAGCCTAGTGGTTAAAGCGTTGTCTCGTCACGCCGAAGACCCGGGTTCGAATCCCCACATGGGTACAATGTGTGAAGCCCATTTCTGGTGTCCCCCACCATGATGTTGCTGGAATATTGCTAAAAGCGGAGTAAAACCAAACTCAGTCAGTCAGTCAGTGTACCATGGTAAAGTTTAATGTGGATATTTACTTGACCGACCAGAGAATTCAACTCGACTCGGGCCTCGGACAATGGTATTTTTCAACCCCTGCCAAATATCAACGTGTAGAAATTTTAGCAGTACTTATTCGGAATAATAAAGACATAAAAGGTATTCAAATTGGAAACATGGAATATCTTCTTTCTCAGTATGCAGATGACACAACTTGTACACTCGATGGGTCTGAGAGATGCCTCTACGCAGTATTTCAAACTTTAACTCTTTTTGCTTGTTTCTCTGGTTTAAAAGTAAACACTGAGAAAACAAAACTTATATGGATAGGTTCAAAGAAAAGATCAAAATTGAAACTATATGTCAAGAATGGAACCTAGATTGGAAACAAGAACCTTTTAAACTGCTTGGTATTAAGTTTTCCTTGGATTTAAATGAAAGGATCGACATGAATTATGAAAGCAAACTTAGACAATGTGAAACATTAATGGCAATATGGTCGGTTAACTCCAATAGGTAAAAACACCATTCTCACTGATACTTCCAAAACTTAATCATCTGTTTTCTTCACTTCCAAACCCACCTGATAATGTTATTGACAAACTTGAAAGGAAATGTTTTAACTTCATTTGGAGTAATAAACCTGATAAGATAAAATGATCTCAAATCATTTGTGATAAAGCTGATGGGGGAATAAAATGCCCTAAAATAAGAGAGACTATATGCTCTCATAAAGTAGTTATGTTATGACACGTCTTTACTACCAACGTTAAGTGGAAACACCTGTTCTTTTTAAATACCCTTTGTGTCAAAAACCATAGTGTGTATGAAATCATGAGTAAACAACAAAGCACATGTCTCCTTTCCAACATAAATAATCCTTTTTACAAAGATCCAATACAAGGTTGGTGGTTGTTCATAGAGGATTTGAACAAAACTACTTTAACTAATAGTGATATTACGTCTCAAATAGTTTGGTTTAATTATAACGTACAGGTGGGATATAAAACATTCTTTATAGATTAATTGTACAAAATAGGCGTAAGATACATAAACGACTTTATTGACGAAAAGGGACAATTTTACTCCTATAGAGACTTTTGTAAGCTAAACTCCATCGTCATAAACTACTTAGATTATGTAGGCGTTACACAGTCCATTAAACAATATTGTAGGAAACGAAATATAGTAAAAATGAACAAAATTGCATATCCTTTACTACCATTTCACATTGCCCATTTATTGAAAACTCAGAAAGGTTCACAATATTTCTACCAAACACTGATACAAAAGCATCAATGTAAAAACCAAAATTTCGCGAAATGGGAACATATAGTATCCCATGATATCAACGACAGAGAACGCAAAGCTATTATTTATCAGTGTTTCAATGCACAGATTCTACCAAGTTTCAATGGTTCCAATATCAGATTTTGCACAATATCCTACCCACAAATTCTCGCCTTTATAAAATGGGATACATTGAAAGTGATTTATGAAGCAATTGTTCTCCAGAAACGGAATCTATATTCCATTTGTTCTGGGATTGCCGTTATATACGCTCCATTTGGAATGATTTAAAAAATTGGCTGTTATCAGAAGATCAGATAAATATAAATATATCAAAAGATACTGTTTTCCTTGGCTATACCGAAAGGAATAATAACCCACTTAACATCATCACATTAATAACAAAACATTATATATTCACCAGAAGATCACAAAAGAAAGTGCCAGAATTCAAAGAAATCCAAAGGGAGCTCATAAACTGACTATTATAGACTAACTAAATATGCAGCCTCCATAAATTCAAAAATTTTAAACTTATCCTATCTCACAATTTGCATCTCACTCTCTTGCTTCGACGCTGAGTGGAACGAATTAGAACTTTCCCTGTAGGCTTCTCTTGTCCATACGCCCGTGTTCCCCAGGCTGCTCTCCTTATAGGACAGGTCCCTGGTCCCATGCTGAGCATGCAGCATGCTCTGCTATCTACCCATGTGACTACCTCAGAGTGATCATTCTTCTTGTCGCACGACAGAGTGGATGCGTTATAGCTCTTGTCATAGAGTTTTGAGTTGCTTTTTGTATTATGGGGAAATCAGATCCTCCAAATATAAAGCGTAAGTTTTGCGCCCAGTGTAAAACAATATTTTCAACTTCGGACCCACACATTTCGTGTGTTGATTGTGTTGGTCAATGTTCTTGGGAGAAACGGTGTGAGAAATGCGCAGGGTTATCTACTGAGGATTTCAAGGCTTATAAACGGGTCTGTGCTCGTAGAATTGCAGATAGTGCTAGGACTAGGAATACCTCTGTTGACCAAAGCCCCTCCTGACCAAGAAACCACGCCTGGAGCGTCCCACCCTCACGGCTCGTCGTTTGAAATCCCCACCCTCCAAGGCGGAGGATTTTTTTTACGCTTCTTCATATCTCTCGGAAGAGGTACAAAAGCTTTTTGGGACGCTTCCTTCGCCTGGTTAATAAACCTCTAGTGTCTACAGCCTCCCCTGACCTGCAGTCTACACTCTTGGTTTCTAGGGCCTCTGGTTCGTCTCAGGCCGTGACTATAGTCGCTTCGGTTCATCAATCTGCATCACCTGTGGTACCGAATGAGTCCATTTCTCCAAGTCATTCTAGACGATCCCGTTCAATTCATCCATCTATCTCCTCGGAACGTTCCAGTTCTGCTAGTCGTTTGAGATGACCTCACGGGTTTGTCTCGAATCCATCTCGTAGATCGATTGAGCGGTCATGTTCACCCCAGCGGAGTGGTGCTTATTGTCGATCTGTTTCTATTGATCGTACCGAATCACGTATTGATTCCCATGGTGGTTTCTGCACTCCCTCCTATTAGGATTCGCGCCAGCTACTGATTCACCAGGCCAAATCAATTCACCAGACCGAATCAATTCACCATGTCGTAGAGATTCGCGTAAACAGATAGGTTCACCTTTACGTGATGGCTCACGTCGCCGAACCAGTTCAGTTCACCGTTCGGTTTCACCTAGTCATTCCGAAGGCGTTTTCTCGAACCACGACTTCTGGACGAATTGATTCACGGGATCGAATTGATTCGTCTACACAAACCATTTCACCTCACCGATTTGGTTCGTCTGCTCATCCCGGTTCTCACCACTTAACTGCTTCACCGTATCGAAGTGGTTCACATATTCATTCTGGGAGTTCTCACCGGACTGGATCACTTCGGCGTTCAGGCTCACCTGTTCGCTCTAGGTCATCCCATCGGGATGGTGTGCCAGGCTCTTCTAATCTATCTAGATCTCCAGATCGAGTTAGGTCATCCCATCCTTCTGCCTCCCTGACACGACAGCATGCTACGGTTCGTTTGATTTCACCAATTCGCTCCCCGCCTAGGCGCCGCTATGGTTCCTTGGACCGTTGATCTCCTTCACGTCATACTGATTCTTCGGTTCATACTACTGGGGCGACTATTTTACCTGAATCGTGG